GTGGCTTGGGAACAAATGGAGAAATAATTGTTTGGAAGAGGAGTTTGTTTGGAGAAAGATGAGGAAGACTGGCAACTCTACAAAGTGAATTAAGAGGGATTTTTCTAATGTGTACGGTGTTACCTCCATCTGCTGAAGGAACATCAAGACAAGTGGAGTCTGAGGACCATATGGGTGAGTTCGATTCCTTTTTGGGACGTTTTTCTTCTTTTTGCACTGCAGTTTTTCTCCATTTTTACTGGATTATTCAGATGCATTAAGAATACTTTTTCTTCTGAGATGTGATTGTTTGGGGCAGGTAATTCATATTAAAGTTGACATTAAGGTTCCCTCTATAGTGTTCTTCCTTTGTTTGGGTAATTAGATTTTAAGAGGACCCAAATCATTATCTTAAAAAGGTTAGTAACACAGTAGCCATTGAACCTTTTTTTTTTTTTTTAAATACAACAAGGCTTAAAAGTTAAGCTGATTGTTAAAATGTGGCCGCAGGCGGAACTGACTTTAAAGTTTGAAACTAGAAAGGCAGTGCAGCAGCTGTTTTCTGCCTTATGTGACTCATTGAGATGTTGTGGCATGCATTTAATCTAAGGGTTTCAGAATGAGGATATTAAACAGTAGATTTAGACACCACGAAAATTGGACTTTATGAATATATTCTGTGGGGAACTGATTTAGATAACAGAAAATAATTCAGTCACTGACCATAAAAAAAATATACACTTTATTTGTTAACAACGTGGAACATCGTCTTTCGTATCTTAATTTCATTCAACTTTCAGTCTCTGTGGGGTTTGTGTTGGCTTGTAATGGGAAACTATCTGAATCAAGATGAAGGAGTTGATGATCAAGAAGAGCAATCCAGCAAGCCAGATCCACAGGAAGGTGTTGTAGCCTTCAAACTCCAGGAAGTAGGCCGGGCCCAACCACAGACCCTGACAGTGGGGAGAAAACATACATTTCTTTATAACAGTCAATTCTGGTTGATTCAATCAAAAATATTGAAAAGAAAGTTATAAAGAATAAAATAATCTGTGAAGTTGAAGACCCTGTTTTTGATTACCATTTTAGAGCTAGTTTGATTTGTTATATGTTAAGGTTCATATCTGAAGTCCTATTTAATACAACATCAACTGCAATCAAGTGAATTACCTGTCCAGCAAACCAGAGGATCAGCAGTCCCACTCCCTGTTTTAGTGACAGACTCAGGTGAGGGATGACCAGAGGGAGTAGACAAAGGTACCACAGGAAGTACTATGACAAGGGAAAACACAGAACTTGTTAAAGGCTTTAAAGAAATCTTATTTATAAATGCATATTATTGTACAATTCCCTCGCAGGCACTGTGGTTAGCCCCATGGCTGTCAAAGTGGTGCAGCAATTAACTACAAATATACACTCTTTTCTAACTTAATTGACAGTGGAATGTGTAAAAACAAAGGGTGGGACGACTAGTCTCTTGAGGACAACTTAATCTGACAATGACCGCAACACAATGCATTGTCTGATCTCTTAGACCCTGTTTTATGATGTACCTGTGAAGTGCAGACTTTGTTGAAAGAGACAAAGATGGAGGTGTGCAGGAAACAGCAGAAAGACAGGTCGGAGTGAAAGGCCCATGATGCGACCAGCAGCAGGATGAGCTGAGGCAGGAAGGCTGCCAGGCCCAGCCACTGGCTCCACCCGCTGTCTGCACCAACAGAGGAGAAAATCATTTGACCAGACATAAGGCTGAGGAGAATGGCTAATAAACATACTTTTAGAGTTATAACTAATTTATGAATGGCTACAAATACCTGCGGTGAGGTAGAGCATGTAGAAATATGGAGAGAAATTGTGTCGGATGTCCCTTCTGGTCAGATGGTACAAGTAGGTCTCATGAAAGAACTCCCATCCATACCTGACAAGAAAGGGGAGGATTATTAATAGAAGACAAGGGATGATGCGGATTATTTCGTATTTAGAAATACTTCAAATCAGACTTTTGGTTCGCTGTTTCTATTACCTTCTTAAGACTTTAGGGGGAGGTTTAATATATATAAAATAGCATGACTAACAAGATATGGGATAAATTACAGAAAAATCTTAATATTTACCACTCAGTATGCAGATTTAAAAAAAACACAGTCACAATAAGCACCTTTTTTTTTACTGTGTGTAATTTGTTTGCATATCTCACATGTAATAGAAGAGTGCCGTCAGCATACAGAAAACTCCTGCTGCTACACTTGCAAAGAGAAATAGCTCCCGGTTGAGGAAGCTTCTAATAAACCGCATTAAGCTCTTCATCCCCTTGTTGTCCTCTGATCTGGTCTCTGTTGTGCGCAGGGACAGAGCAATTGGAAGAGCATATGTCACCGGGTAGATCTTCATATGGACTGACAGACCATAGAGTATGGCTCCCCACATCAGATGACGGGCTAGAAGAGCACAGGTAAAGAATATTGGCACAAGAGCTGTGTATATTACAAACAAGCAGTATCTATATCATTTTTACAGCGCTAATGTATTTTTGAAGCTGCAAGGCTTCCACACCCTTACCTTCCATACAGAGTAATGTCCCCAGCACCAGTGCAGCTAAGATTGACTCTGCATTCCCTCGGCTGGATACTCCAATGGGCAGTGGGTTGAGGAGCCACAGAGCACAAACACGCAGCGCAGCCTAAAAGAAAATCCCCCCAAAACACAACTTAGAATACATTTCCAAAAAGTGTTGCATTACAGGGCAAAATGAATACTATAACTTAACAAAAGTACAAAATGCTGAAAACATACCTCAGTGCCAAGACCTTTGAGAAGAAGGATTTTGTAGATGAGCAGTCCAGAGAGCACATCACACACAATGAAGAGGATCTTTCCAAACACCATGTTGAGGTAGATGTTAGGGGTGAGCAGCCAGGCGAGGAGAGGGGTGTAGCGGTATGTTGATCTGTTGTAAGGGGACTGCCCCTGTGCAAAATAAGTATTAGAAACAAGAATTAAAGTATCAAAAATACTTATCGTGCAGAATGACCCAATTCAGTGTTGTACTTTCATATTATTGGATTATAATAATAGATGGATTGATAATTAACGATGCAGTAGGAAGAACTTCGATTACATTTCTTAGTTTTGTTGTGACTGGTCAAGCTGGAGCTGGACTTTAATGTAATAATGCCTCATATTGCACTCCAAACTCATCATTTATGTTGTATGTAAAATCCTCATCTGGAGGGACATTAACTATAGTTGTTATTGAGTGTAAGGAATAAAGTCATATTTCACTCTAAAATAGTTTTGAACGTTATTGTACATGTTTGAAGATTGAAAGGTAGTATAGTAGAAGTAGCATAGCACAATATTTGTATTATATGTCAATCAAAAAAGGGACATAACACTTGATAAATTCCCTTTCCAGTATTTTATTAATTGACTTATAACCGTTTTATCTGGCTACTTTACACTTGTCACATGAGTTATAATAACAATGCTCTTACCTCAGTAATGAATCTTGCAGCGTCTGTGAACACATGGTAGTCAATGTCAGTGTACTTCACCACCATAGTCTTATCCTGGTAGTCTCCATAAGCGACCAGGGCCAGTCGTATAACGAAGGAAGCCGTGAAAAGGACATGTTTTTCTGTTAGCTTTGTTATTAGCCGCTCCATCACCAGCCAAGCAGGGCAAACCAGATCAGCAGGCAGCACCTGGAGCTAAAGCTGCCACTCTGTCGTCTTTAAGCGGGGAAACGTTAGCCGAATTGCCCGTCTCTTATCATTTCATCTTGGCTTTAAAAAAATAAAGAATGGATAACACTGCCGTCCTGTGTTGTCAATAAGCGATTTGTTTTAAATATTTGACTTCAAAAATTACATCCAGGAAGTTAACCGGAAGTGCCTTTCCTAATTTGTTCTTCTTCTTGGATTTTTACCAACGTAGCGACAAATTAACGCCTCCTAACGTTCAGGAGTGAGATGCGTTTATTGACAACGACAATTCATCCTTTCCCCCCTGTATGGTGTATTTAACACACTAAACATGTCCCATTGCTTTTATTTTGCTGCATAATTCTACGACTACCTGCTATGAAGAATTAAAAAGGGTGTGTCCAACATAGCAAGCCTTTCCTCCTGTTTCTACATGCAAAATATATTTTTTAAACCGGTCAGACAAGACACTAATTTGATCTACTTGAAAATGTTATCTTCTTAGAAAACGCAAATTCATGTTTTCAAACTGGCAGTTAAAGGGTTAAAATCCTAAACATAATTTAACATTTGGTGTTTTTGATCAGGACTGAAGTTGATTGAAAGATTGAACCCCAAAAAGCTTTTAAAAATATTAATCTGTTGTCATTTTAGAGCAGTTTTTGGAAGTGGACATTTTTGTCCCGAATGACTAATGTCTGACTTTTTTGTTCAATCTGATTTTGTGCAAAAACTAATAATGCAAAAAAAAAATCAATTTTATTGCTAATCTTTGACATATCCAAGACTGTTATAAAAAAAAAGAGCCAGTCCCCAGATATGTATTTTTTGGAAAATAACTAATTTTCTGTTTTCATCATGAAAAAAACAAGCGGTTTCATGTATTCAAAATGGCATTTAAAGGGTTAAAATCCTGAAAATTATTACATTTTTGGTATTTTCTATTAGGACGGAAGTTGCTTTAAAGATTGAACCCAAAACAGTTGTGAAAAAAACCTTTTAATATAATGTTTTTATCAAAGTCTTTTGCAGTGGATATTTTTGTCTCGAATGACTAATTTGCGTAGTCCAATCGAATGATACCGGAGGGTTAAGAAAACCTGTTACTGTTGTACTTTTTATGACAAAGGCAGCCTGTAGAAATAGGATTCCAAAAGTAGTACTGCCTCATACAGAAAGCATTATACTACAGTCAGTTTGGGTTAAACATTAACAGTGTAGTGTAGTATTAGTACTTGTACAAGGACAGGTCAAACTACAGGGTTTCATCACACATGACTGTTTCAAATCTGAGAAAAAATATCAATGACAACCAAGATTTGGAAACGGCACACTTTTATTTTTTTTATTTCATTTGTAAAACCCAAGTATACATAAAAAGGACATGGATTTGACACCAGTTTAAACCCTCATGTAAGCTTTTGCTTTTTATAGAATATATTTAGAATTTGCATACGTATCTATCTGAAAATATGCTGTAATCCCTTTCTTTCTTTGGTTAACTGAACATATACAATGCTGAAAGTGTATTTTCTGTAGATAAAGTGCCAAGAATCTTGCAGAATTACGTGTTAAGTATAGTTCGGGCCTGGCAGTTAAAAAACGAACAACATGGAAATTGTGATAAAGGCAATTCTTGCAAGGGGTGTTTTAGATGATATAGACGCGATTGGTATAGATTAATAGGGTAAGGTGTAAGGCTGCAGCAAAAAGGGCCATACTTCCATTACAAACATAAGGTAATCAAGGTCTTAAGGCTGAAGATATTAGGTGCAAAACACAAACTGTGTACAAACCTAATAATCAGGATTAACACAGAATATTTAATTCACTCATAAGGAATGATGGCGACCAGAAGCAACAGTTTAAAAAAAAAGCAGCTCATCGTTCTACATTATGAAAACATAGGAGGGAAACTTGATTGTGAATAGCTATAGGAAACCCTTGAAGTGATTCTCAATAACCTTCTAGTAATATAAAATAAATGTGATACTGTTGCAATGCATTGTAAACCCCCTTTAGTTGAGAACCACTGCTCTTAACTATGTAGAGCTCACTCAGGGGAGCAGTATCTGCCAGCAAAGAGGACGCTCATGGAAGGGTTATGTCGGATGAAGAAGAGGAAGGGGTGGTCTGCAACGAAGCGCTCTGGCCGCATCGCGGCACATCGCAGCATCATGATCGCAGCAGTGGCAGCAGCAGCCTCAGTTCCCTCCTCGTTGACCTCCACAAAAGCCTTGTGGACAACTTTTGACAGAACCAGGTCGTTTCTAGGGGACATGCCTGTCACAGACCAGAATGAGACAAAAATATTTTAAACAAATATGTCTGGTCTCATATGATGGAAATAATGTGAGTGTGAGAAAGAAAGGAGCAAGATCAGGTTTTTTTAATCACAAGTGTTATTCTAATATTATCCAGGGACCATGTTTTACCTGAGAAGTCACTCATTGCCATGTCGAAGGCATCTGCCATGCCCATGCTGATCAGGACACTTTTCAGATCATACAACTCCTCCATCTTAAAACGAGGCAGCCCCACCATGACCTCAACATTATCCATCATCTCTGGAAGAGTCCACTTGGTAAAGTTCTCATAGGTCAGCTGTTTCTCCAGCTGTAGGTGGACACAAATCAATAATTAGTTTTTGTCTGTATTATTTGGGTTCCTTAATGTGTGCAAGTGCATGTCCTACCTTCTCCAGACCTGTTGTACTGTCCTCTATATCTTTGGGCAAAAAGATGAGCATGCTGAGCTCCTTTCCTTTGTAAGGCATCTCAAGGATCTGTCAAACAAAAGGTTTCAAACATTATAGTAGATACACTGGTCTGACAACTATTGTTTTTTTCGGTAGATTACAAGGAATAAATACATTGTCTGCTAGTTAGTCACAGTTATAATCAAATAGATTGTTACTAAAAACCCAATAAATTCTCCTTTGACTAAATTGTGAATCACCTGGCAGCTGGCTTCAGAGATGTAGGTGAAAGGGAACTTTGATTTTATGTTCATCATCTTCACTGGTTTGGTGCCATTCTGAAAAAACAAATATACATTAAAATTATTATTAAATACAATTACATTTAAAAAAACTCATATTTACTGACTTTCAATTGACTATTTGCTTAAAGCAGTGTTACCTTGTTGAGTCTAAACTGAGAATCCACAGTTTTGCTCTCCTCAAACTGTTTGTCCCAGTTGCCTTTGAAGTAGATGGCGTTGACCAGCACCATCCTGGTCATGCTGTCCACCACTCCATTGGCCAACAGATCCTTAATTTTACCTTGTAAACAAAATTAACACATTTGTGAAGCAATGTTAGACTACTTAAAGAATGTGTGCAGCTTTGAAAAATGGCAAGCCCAGGTGACATGTTTCAGTGTGTGTGATGCACCTTGTGTCATCTGCTCCACCCAGTTGTTGATGTTGCCTCTCGCCACTTCTGAGCTGTTCACAAAGTCCGTAGACTCCAGCTCTGCACTGTAGTGCTTCTTGGTTTTCCCTAAGAAATCCTAGAATCAACACCATCAAATGTACTAATTCTGCTCACCGGAACAAAAATCTTTTTTCTTAACTTAAGCAAATGGAACATATCACAATCACTGTTTTACTTGCTCATATACTGGCTACTCTCTTCATTCTTTCTTACAAAGCTCACATATTCCTATGTGGGCCTCTCATTTTGTCCAGCCTAATCATTTGTAAACAGAACCACACCTATTCATGAAGATGGGCGCACAAACATGCTGAAACACACTCACCTCTACAAACTGGTAGGACTGCTCCCCGTACAGCCTGTTGGCGACACTGAGGGCAAACGGAGCGTTTTCCCTGTTCAGCTCTGACAGCAGTTCGGCGAAGCTCGTATGGACCTCATCCTGCAAGTCCTTAGTTTTCAGGCACTGTGGAGAAAGTAGACAAGTGTTATAGAGATGCACTAAAGCATGTGACGGATTGGTCTATTATAAACGGTATCAGACTAGTTATCTTGCCTATTAAGTGATGAGATAAGAGAAAATAAAGCAAGTTTTCAAGGTAAATTGCAGATTTTTGTTGCTTTGTTCTACTCATTTTCATACATTGTGTTAAATGATTGTTGGTTACTAGAGTATGCAGTCACTCACCTGACAGACCCTTTATTGTATATATTGTATATATATATATATGAGAACAACTTAATCATTTACAAAGGTTACAAATATAACAAGGAAAAATTAAAAATAAATTAAAAAATTGACATGGAAAAAAAAAAAACACACCTTAAACACTGACTTTAAAAAAGCATTGAAACCCCAGCCCAAGCTTTGACGAGCCTTTCCAGACACATTCACATAAAGAGATCCCTCCACCATGTTGTTATTTACATTGTTACATGCAGAGAAAACTGTCCAAACCCTTTAGTCGACTGAATTCAGGATGGTATGTGTTGGTGTGCATACAAATTCCGTATAATTAATTTTGACATTTGGTGTTTCCCACATACAGGAGTGTTCTCTGAGTAATACACTAGAATAAGGCATGTATACAAAATTATCTTTTTATTTGTTTGTACTCTTCTAAAGAATTTGTGTCTAGTGTTGGTTTTCAGCAGCTGGTTGTAGGAGATAAAAAACATGACTACATTCCTGAGTATTATGTAACACTTTGGAGTGTTGAGCTGTTGGAACACCAACCTTCAGTAAACAAAAGACAACTAAAAGCGTCTGTTTTGTATTGTTCTTCTAAATTCAGTTGGATACGGCAGCACATTGCAGCAAAGAAGAGTAAAAAGTATCATCTTGAACCACCCGCTCTTCCCCTGCACCATATGACACCAGACCGTAAGTAAAATGCCCTTAAAATGTTAGTTCTTCATTCCTTTACTCTTGTCTTTGTTACCATCTTCCGCAGATATGGTGGCAGCATGGCGTTGACTTTCTGCTGCTGCTCCATTCCCATTTGCATCTGCTCTCCTCCACAATGCTGCGACTTATCTGCCTCAGTAAAGCAGAGCACCTATGGGTGGTAGTGTTCACTGTTGAGTTAGACACTATGTGTGCTTTGGTCTGGAAAACAACGTTTTTATATCTGCCTAGCAGTGATGTGTGGGCTGAGTAGTATTCAGCAAAGATAGAAAAGTTCATAACCCTTCCAACGGGAAGCTGGATGAAAGAAGATACCAAGTTAAAAAATTGCTAAAACAGAAGTGAGGATTTTTTTTGTGCAACTGAGATATACCACTCTTAAGCATAAAGAAATCGAGAGATGATTGCAGCTATATAATACATCAGAATATACAGGTTTTACACAGTCCAGACACCATCTTCAAACTATTGACCCATGTGTTTACATTACTTTCCTACATACATTTCCTGAATTATTATGACTTGAAAATAGTTAAATTGCATTGGCATCTTTTTGTCTTCTATCTCCATGTATTGATGAGTAGAGGTCGTAAAGGGTAACCACAGCCAACAATATTGTCAGGGTGAACTCATTACACCCTGAACGTTTGTGGAAGGAGAATCGCCCCATGGACGGCTGTGGGGATGTGTCCGACAAAATCACTGGTTTGGGAACCACTGGATTACATTCATTTAACAAGACAGTTGTAAAGCACAAGTGATACTGCACTTCCAGAAATATATAAAGAAAACCTTATTTAAATAACTGTAACAGTCTTAATTCTTAAAAAGTATATTATACTGGTTTCCATTTTATATGTTTTTTTACTTTTGAGTTGGTTTGAATAATAATGGTTGTCAAGAAGATGACTGACAAATTGGGCAGTGTCATTGCTGGCCCACACATTTGTTTTCCAAGCAACCATCAGCAGGAATTGCAAAGCAAATCCCTGCTAACTAATGACTAACTTCCTAAATATGGTTTACACAACTAGTTTATTTTGTAACTGGCTGCCAGGAAGAACGTCTTGCAGCAGCCACATGTTACTCTCACCTCTGTTCTTCTTGATTCATGCAGAAACACACACCCACTCTCTGTCATTGAGCAGCCATGCATGCACACACAGGTGTATCATCTGCACTCATGACACAGGAACCTGCTTTGATAAGCCATCAATCACATCAATGTCCCACACAATTCTAAATCATAATGATAAATGATCGTATCCATTTGGCTTTCACCTTGCTCTTACCAGAAGAAACATGTAGGCTTTATTTTGAAGCCCTGCCTTTCCCACATACCCATGAGTCCTCAAGGTGTGGCTTTAATTTGGCAATTCTTTAGAAAAATCTCACAAAAGGTTCTTGTTTGACATAATTCCTTCTAAACGTTGAGCTTCTGCTGTGTCGCCTACAGAATGCCACTATGTGAAGGCTTTCTTTCTTTCACAGTGTAAAGGTATACATCAGTCCTTTTTCCATTAAACAAAGTATATTTCTGAAAACCGTTGCACTAAGCTTTGACAATGCTTTTGGGTCCCATACTTTTTAATAACCTAGTAGGAATTCCTTCTTTATTGTATGTATCTACATTGAAAATAGCAGTATAGTAAGAGTGAAAGTCATTTTAGATTTTTTGGGAATACATTTTTTTATATAAAAAAGGAACGCAACTATTCTTTTAGCAGGCATTTATTGAGCAACTCCCTTTGAGGATTACTCAGTAAACATAACGATAAGGTGTACAGATAACTTAACCTATATCTTTATTGCCTTTAATGTACACTTCCATGTTACCTTTCACGTACCTATGGCAACACAACAAAGAGCCACCCCTCATAAAACCTAGTCAGAGTCTGAACAGAATAGTTTTTTTGTCATTCCTGCTGACACTCTAAGAAAAAACTCGTGATTCATCGAGACTGACGGCCGACACCCTGCCCTTCATTCTTATCAATTTCTCCCCCCCTCTCTATCTTTTTTAGTTTCAAACAATGCTGGGCTAACTGTAAGATCAGTTAAAAGACACAGTTTGTGGAGGTTTAATCAGTTACAGCAGATGTTGCTTTACAACTTTACAAAATGACACCAAACGAGGTGCACCGACCTCTTACTTTTCAGAAAACATTTTTTTTGGCTGTGTGTCTATATGTTTACTGTACCTCTGACATCTGTGTGGATGTGTTGCCCCTGGTCCCCAGCATCACCATAGCCAGGGCTGAGGAGATGCTGAAGGGGGAGTAGAAGACATTCGCGGCATTGTCGTTATCGCCTAGCTGTTTGAGCAAAGCCAGAGCGAAGGTGGTGTTGGCCTTGGATAGAGGGGTTGGTGATGCCATGGTGTCTGATGGAAGAAAGAAAAGGAAAGTGTGTTAATATACCTGATAGATCTAAAGACAATTAAATGAAAACCGGTTAGATGCAGTCTTTAGTTCAGAAAGGATTTGAGAGACTAAGCAGGATTAATTGAACATTAAACAATTGGGAAGGTGGAGGATTGGGAATTACCATTGATAGCATTTCTTGTAAAATAACCTCACCCTATGTATGCACATTCACAAATGGATAGAAACATATATTTAAAACATATTACATAATCACAATGTACACTACTTCTACATAATGATTACAATTGCTCTAAGATGGCAACAAAAACTATTTATAATGCTACATTAAGACACTTTCTTTAACATTATAATTAGATTACACAGCAGTACTTCAATCTATTCATAACGCCATATTTCTTTCACCTGCAATCAGTAACACCTGTCCTGTCTAACCTGTCTGGTAACACTGTTAAGAATCAATGTGATTGTAGCCTGGATAAACTTAATGCTGTACACAAACCAAATAAATAAATTCGCCCCGTCACAAACTAAACGAAATTAATTTCCAACTTACTGACAGACACTTTTCTGATGGACTTCGAGTATTCAGGAGTCTTTCCGTCACATGAAGTCTCGTGTTTGAAGCTTCAGTTTTTATTATTTACTGGTTAGCTGACACGCCCCGAAATCCTTCCTGTCTGTTCTTATTATACCCGTATTATACATCCATGTTCCTGTCAGATGAGCTTCCGCATTCTCATATGTCATTGTACGGAGGCCGAAAGGACAAAACGAGCTTTCATTCGCTTTTTTTCTTAGCTCACAGAAAACGGCAGAGGTGGGAAAGTACTCAGATCTCTTAATTAAAAGTTGATGTACCGGAGTTTATGAATACTTTTTGTACAAGTAAAAGTCCTGCAATGAAAATGTTACTCAAGTAAAAGTACACAAGTATTGGCATCTAAATATTAGACATGGTATAATACATGTAAGTCCCAAAAGTAAAAGTACTCATTGTGCAGATTGGCCCATTCAGAATCATATGTATTCTATGTTTTGATTATAATGATTAATGTATTAAAGTGTTATCAAAGGTAAAGGTGCAGCTAGCTATGACTTTGTATACTGCAGGGTAGCTTCCGGTTATACTCCAGGTGTAACTAAAGTCGGATTTAAGTGTTGATTATATGCAGGGTTGCCAACTTTGGGTACCTGGCTGGAGTGAGATTTTGATATCATGGGTTTAATTACATATGCGCACGAAATGACTGCTATCGTGTCAGCAGCAGGACCTTAGCATAGCCTATATATAGGATATATATATACAATATATACAAATACACAATATTGGACACAGACTATAAAAGGCACAAAGTTTCATTCACTATTGAAAGTCAAACACATGTTTGTTTCCACTGTTTTATTGTGTGCCTGTATAAGCAATTAATTGACGTATCGTACGATAAATAAAAATGAACTCGATACATTTCCATTTACATGAGGATGTGACTAGCAGTTTGAAAGGATGTACTTGAATTATTATTATATATTATCATTATGTCAGTGGTCTAAAATGGTCATACAACGGTGCCGACAATATTATCGTTTATCGCAATAATTTCCGGGAAAATGTATCCAACAAAATTAATTATCGTGAGAGCTATACATGAAACACACACAAACAAATCTACAGACTTACTCCAAACTGCCAAACATATTAATTAACACACTCTCACTCTCATATACTCTTTGACTCTATTTTGGCCTAGTAGAACAATAAGCAGCAGACTTTTACTTTTTTATCATTTCTACTGGTTCTTAGATCTGAGCATGCGCAATACGGGTTGGCAGTTGCGAGAGAGTATTTTTGTTGGGTAATCTATGGTAGGGCTAACCCATACAGTGGTGGGGCTCATGTCAGTATTTGCAATGTAATTACATACACGCTCCCCTTGACAGTGAAACGCCACGCGTGAGGTTTAGATTATTTCCCTGTCTCAATCCAAATTGAACTGTATGAAATAAAAAGGCACATTTGTCTTGTAGTAAATAAAAAGGGCGACCTGGGGCCAATCCTGCAATCTCTCCACAGGTGAAAGAGTTGACATGCTGAAAACCCAACCCCTGCAGGGGGGTCTGGGGGGATTCGCCCCCAGGAGATTTTTTTTGTTTTAGTTTTGAAATAGGCTACTAACATAAAATACACATTCTGGTACTCTCTTGAGAAGAAAAATAAATAAATCTATTACTACACGACATATTAAAAAAATTAATGCCATTTTACTTTGTTCTGAAAGCTGAACCTGCTGCTCCTCACAGAGAGAAGAGGGAAGAGGCTGTGAATTACTTTACATTGTGGATAAGGGTGGATAGGCCCCATTGTTCTTTGTGTCAAAATGAAAGACAGCCCACACACCTATCCAGGGACGTGCACAGACATTTGGAGGGGCTATTGCTCTAAACTGGAAAAAGGGCCTCCCCCCGAAAAAAAAACATAAGACCTTTTTTTAATGTAAAAGAAACCAAATGATTATTACATCAACTAAATTGAACAGTAATTCACATCTCATAACAAAATAAGCTAAGGCGACTTGCATTCGGTGACTTAATTTAAAAAATGAAAATCAGGGAACATTTTTGTTTTGCGGTCCATATCTCATTAAAATATCTAATGTTAGTAACTATTAAAGACAACATGGAGACAATTCTGTTCTAATGTAGTTTGACCATTGTAACTGCTGTGCAGTCCAGACATACTGATAAAATAGGGCATCTAACCAGGGGTTAAATTGTGCCGGGGCTGTCCAGGGCTGTCCGGGGCTCAGCCCCGGCACATAGGACGATGCTTTGACATCATCGCCCTCGCTTATTTGTCATTTGTTTAAGCCATAATGTCAAAACATCTCTCGTTCTTAATATAGACTTTATTTAGGGTCGATATGTGTTGACTTTAAAATTTAAAATAGCAGATCTCTGTGACAGGATATCGTGTTTCCGCTTAGTGAACGTGTGTCTCTGCTCCGATCAGGAGCTGCAGCACCGTGGCTCCTTCGTGCAGAGAGTCTGCAGCGGTGTGTGTGTGTGCAGAGAGTCTGCAGTGGTACCGCCAAACCCCCGACCCGTCTTGTAACACGGAGCCCGTTTCCTACACCATCAGGGCCGGTTCTAACCAATTTGCTGCCCTAGGCGAGATTTTAGCTGGCGCCCCCCCCCTGCCAGAAAATCGTTCAGTAGAACAAATAAAAGTATCCAAGGAATACACAATAGAATATATAAAAAATAAATGAAAAATCTCTACAAAAGACCAATGCACTACAAAAACAGAAACGTATTGACATAAGTCATATACATCAAAGGCTTCAAATGTATTCAGTATTATATGAACATGTTTTAATTGGGGTGAGGACATCACATCCTCTAGGGGGGTCCGGGGGTATGCCCCCCCGGGAAGAAATGTTTGAACATTTAAAGTAAAATGCTTCAATCGGGTGCACTTTGAGCACACATTACTAGAGACCTGACCTAGGGGTACAACTCTAAACACCCATATGAAAAAGATTGGTTTACATTTTAATAATCAAATAAGTATGTGAACATAACCAATAACCTACCATAGCCAATAGCAAATAAATGCAACTTATTTTATTTGTGTTGTTCATTCATATCTTATTTTACCTAGTTAACGTTTATTTATGCATATTTTTGTATCTCTCAAGTTTTAAACGATATTTTTGGTTTTCTGTCCTATAGTATACATTGAAATGATTTCAAACCTGTTTATCCCAATAATTATAAAAGAGTGCCTTGGAAATATTAGTTTACATAAATTGCATTTATCTCTCTCGCTCGATCCCACACCCACTTTGGCTGTGAGCTGCGGACGCCTGATAAGCCAACACCCCCCACTTTCATCACTTACAGCGCCCATCGTACAGGGCAAATGAAAAGTGTAACCCGGGGTGAAAAGGGTGTTACCTTGACTTAATTATGAATGCTGTTACATCAAGGCCGAAAATTAGGATGAGCGCAAACAGTCAAAATGTTTATTTCCCTCCCAGAGCTGCCAGCGCAGCGCCCCCCCCCCCTCCCCAGATCTGGCGCCCTAGGCGACCACCTATGTCGCCTATGCCAAAAACCGGCCCTGACTTAACCTAACAACTTATTTAATTTGTTTTCACAATTACTAATGTCATGTTTTTTTTTATTCTTGAAGAAAATGCCTTTTTTTCTGGCATTCTTCCAGGATTAACAAAAATAAGAATAACATTGCGAACTATCTTTGAAGTAAATGGCTGTTGTTAAACGCTTCCCACATTTACTTCAATCGTACAATAGAAAAGCTAAAAGTACCCAAGGAATACACAATAGAATATATAAAGAATAAATGAAAAATCTCTACAACAGACCAATATACTACAAAAACAGAAACGTATTGACATGTTGGTAATATACATCAAAAAGGCTTCAAATGTATTCGGTATTGTATGAACATGTTTGAATTGGAGTGTGGACGTCACATCCTCTAGCGGGGACCGGGGGTATGCCCCCCCAGGAAGAAATGTTTGAACATTTAAAGTAAAATGCTTCAATCGGGTGCACTTTGAGCACACATTACTAGAGACCTGACCTAGGGGTACAACTCTAAACACCCATATGAAAAAGATTGGTTTACATTTTAATAATCAAATAAGTATGTGAACATAACCAATAACCTACCATAGCCAATAGCAAATAAATGCAACTTATTTTATTTTTGTTGTTCATTTATATCTTATTTTACCTAGTTAACGTTTATTTATGCATATTTTTGTATATCTCAAGTTTTAAACGATATTTTTGGTTTTCTGTCCTATAGTATACATTGAAATGATTTCAAACCTGTTTATCCCAATAATTATAAAAGAGTGCCTTGGAAATATTAGTTTACATAAATTGCATTTATCTCTCTCGCTCGATCCCACACCCACTTTGGCTGTGAGCTGCGGACGCCTGATAAGCCAACACCCCCCACTTTCATCACTTACAGCGCCCATCGTACAGGGCAAATGAAAAGTGTAACCGGGGTGAAAAGGGTGTTACCTGTGAAGTAAAAACTTCTTTGCAGCAATGTTGAGCGCATCATCAAATGAGGGAAACTGGATTCACCTGTCAATACACTGATATTTATTGAGAGACAGACAATTACATACGGCCGGGAGATCATCCTAGTTTCACACTGTCCTTGTGCTCCACCAAGGTAATCTCTGCCCCAAAAGACACAAAACATCTAACCAACACGAGGAGAGGCGGGCTCCCAGAAAGCCCGCGTATACCTAATTAGTAGCAGATGTGAGACAATAGTCTACTTGTCTCAAAGAGATCCAGACAAGCCTCAACCTACACAGGAGTCTTTGAGTGACTACAAGCAGATGTTTGCAGTATCACAGATTCTATAAAACAATAAGAAACTCTATAAACAGATCAGATGAAAATATTCTCTTACAGATTCACTCTTTTTATCAATCTATTGATAACCAATTAACATTAGTCTAAGAATATTTCAGTCAATACTTAAAATCAATAGGCGTCCTCAGAGTTGGGTGGGCTCAGATACATTCATTACATTAAAAATAGAACAAGATTGAAAAACACTTCAATCACCATGATTGAACACAGTCAATCATAATAAAAATCATCTCTCTTCAGTGCTTGGCATCTTTTGGCAAAAGGCACAATAATAAACACGTGGGATACAAAATATTATAGCAAAATATATGTTTCAAAAATAAGATATTTTATCATTTATCACTCAGTTAATCTCATTCATCAAACACAAACTCTAAATCATCTTACATCTCAAAGATTTACTTTAAGGCAATTACTTATTAAAACACAATTAGAATTTAGGATTTATAATAAATCCAATTGAGGTATAAATCAGAATCATGAGAGATCCAGCTAAGGTTCCTAGTTAAGGTATAAATTCACAGTGATGAATCGATCAATCTGTAATCTGTAAAGTTACAGTGTCCTCAATCTTTAACATTACTTTACGTTTACTTCATTACGCTTTATTCAAGAGTAAGACATGATATTTAATTAATTACATTACTTCAACTATCAATCATTATGTCATTTCAAAATCTGAAGGGAAAGCTAAACAATTCTCAAAATGTTTAACAATCTGAAGAATCAAACATTTTATTGTATAACAACCTGAAAAGGAAAAAATCAAAACATCTGTTCTTTATTCAGAGCATCACTGTAATCAATATCAAAACATCTGTTCTTTATTCAGAGCATCAACTGTAATCAACATCAAAACATCTGTTTTACCTGGTAATGATTAAGGATAGTAACATTGTCTGTTATAATATTAGAAATATCTTATTGTTCAATACCTTATAAATCTGAAAATATCAATTAATTAATTAGTTTAGTGTGAAAGTGTAATCTGATAAAATATATTTATCACCACTATTTAACACATATCTGTTCATTGGGAATACAAAAACAATCATTAATTGTACATCTGTAATCATCTGGTCATTCAATTCAAATGTTATCTTTGTACGAGAGCTAGAAGACATGTTTTCCTCCTCTCTTTATGACACAGAATGTCTGGTGTGTAAAGGCATCCTGATACTGTAGATTAGCACTGAGGTGCTGATTGGCTCAAAACTCTTCTTCATCAGAGCGCCATAACTCAATTATCTGTAGATTAGCACTGAGGTGCTGATTGGCTCAAAACTCTTCTTCATCAGAGCGCCATATCTCAATCCCCCCCAATTGCTCTGCTTTTGTGGCTCAATTCAGTGAGCACTTTATGATCTCCCAGTGAAACAGAGGCTCATCTGCCTGCATTCCTTCTGCTATCTGCTTGAGAGCAGTGCACCTGCCTATTCCAAGTGGCACATCCAGATGCCCCCCCCTGTGATGGGAGAGGTTATGAAAACATCTTCTCCTCCAAGAAACATGAACCTTGTATGAAGCCTCTGAAGCCATCGCTCGTCCTGCGAGCGAAAATGAAGAAGCATCCCATCTCATCAGAAAGTTGAAGATTAGAATCCTCTCATCTCGAACGACCTCCTTGCCCGTGGATAAGTTGCTCTCTGCAGCCGCAGAGTGTGATCCTCTCTCTCTGACCCTTGGCCTTCAGAGCTGTCCTAGTTATTGGGTTAACACTTGATAGGGATGTTTTCCTGAGTGCAGACAACTCAAGGTAATGGATTAGCACATTATCATTCAATTACAAAAATAGGATAGGCCCCCTCAGAATGATTTGGGAGCCTTCCTGAGACATGCACATTATAAATGTAAGGTTTGTGTTAGTCATTTAACATGCAAGAATCATATACTCATCAGTCCAAAGCAGATAAATGTTATTTTAAGTTAAATGTGAGCTAGTCCCTGTGGAATAACCCTTTCTCAATGATTCTAGATGTTATATTAATTCACCATTTACCGTTTGATCAAGGATTAGTTTATCAGAAGTACATTTCCTCTTCCATAAAACATAGGTTTGAGAAATTAATGTTCCAATATGAAATCAATTGCTCAATATAATTTGACTCTTCCCTCCCTTTTCTTACATATTGTCACATATGAAATAATAACTTAGGAGTCTATCTAAGCATGGTATTGTCTATATAAGCTATTAATCGAGAAAACTCAGTCAGTATGCAACTCGCAAATATCTCTCCTCCTTCCTATCCCTCTTTACTCACTTTCCCATCTCTTTCTCTCTTATTTCTGTTAGATATGAAGGAAAAAAACATACAAGTCCATGTAAGCATCTGAGTTACCACCGTTACCAAACGGTGTGCCGCGGCACACTGGTGTGCCGTGAGGCAAGTCCGGGTGTGCCGTGGGATTTTGTGACAACCATACATTATTTTTTCAATATACAACTACACAAAAATAATCATTTATTTTTCAATTTACTATATCAGTACTTTGTAGGTTTATGTACGTAATCTGCGCGACTTGCGCGTCCACATCTCCACGTGCAGTGCTGCATAAACATGGCTGAGTCAGCGATAACTATCGAGGGGTGGAGGTATGCCCATTATTTTTTATATCACGCAGTCTATTCTTCTTCTCTGTCTTCCGGTTGTTGCCTGTATTAAATGACAAATACACACTACCGCCATGGATTTGATATGAACGAGGCGGCAGTTAGCAGCTAGCGGCTAGCTAGTAATGATGTAGTGATATCGGTAATATTAACTCCATTTAATACAACATTTACGGTACAAGATTCAATCATACAGCCCATGTAGTATGACAATGAATTACAGCAAACATGTGCAATATATCCATTATTACAGCTCCGTGGGATGGCAGTAAGATGATATGGATCCGTTCCCATTGTGCATCCATGGGTAAAGATAAACGCAACTCACATTGGTTCCTCATACAGCATCTCTGTAAACTACGTGTATTCACTGAATTTCACTCTCTGTCTTTAACGGCTCGTTGTAGCTCCAAAAACTCCAGCCAGAGCCTGGCTCCAGCACCCTCCCTGTGAGCACAGTGTGCTCTGATTGGTCGGGACACGTAACATGAACGTGCCGGGCGGCGCGGTCCCGTGGGTTAGATGCGCGTTCATAATGCCGAGGGAAATAACTCTAAGAATAACGTTATTAGCACATTTTACAACTTGAGGAACGAATGTTTTTAATAAGGGCTATACAAGTGTTCCTACTGGGTAGTTTATTTAGTTTAAAAAAAATTATCCAATGAGTTACAGACCACTCTTTCCCCATGTAAGTCAATGGGAAAAGTGTTTCCGGGCGCAGCAACCTAACGGAAGTGTAGTACCGCCGTTTGGCCACAGTGAATATTCTCCTCAGAGTCCGGCGCACTTCCTGGGGGCTTGGTAAATACCATAGAGGTAAATACCTGTCAATTTGTGCTTCCGTGCATCTCATCTGTAATGGAGTCACCAGGGGCGTCGCCTGGACCTGGAAACATTCGGGGCTTAGCCCACAGTGGCGGCGCTACAGTCACATTTTCTACTGCAAGACTCCCCACACGCACATACACAATTGCGCCATCTGGTGTCACAAACGTGTGCCTGCATTAGCTTTGTTTCGGCAATGGATTGTGGGAGATTCTCATAGCACGTGAGGATCTCTTGAGGGTAAAGTGCCTGTATTATCTCGGTGGACAAAATGTATGTTTTTATTTTATAAGGACAATAACGTACTGTTGTGTTTGTTTAGTTTAATGTTAATTGTTTAATGCTCACGCAGTCACAGCAACATGTTTTTTGTGTGATTGGCTATTTGTTTTATATGATTTATCAACGTGATCATCAATAGCTAATCTGAGCACTAGAACCCAGCTCACGTGTCCTTTTATGCTGTCCATTGAAATGCAGGTATGTGAGTTTTGTACACCAGTTTATTTATGTTTAATGTTTCACATTGCTCCACATGATGCCTTGACTACAAAGTCTTCCATGTTTCTACGCTTCTTCCTCTGTGTCACAGTTTCGGGAATATCAAGATCATTGCACAGGGCCTTGGTCTTGTCATAGACCTCATGTGCTTTCTCGTTACTACGGTAACTTTTCAGTGTGTTCTCAACTGCCGTTTTGTAATCTACAGCCTGCACCAAGTCAATTGTTTCTTTCTGCAGGTATTTGTGCAGGCCCTGAGTGGTTGAGAGCAGTGTCTGGAACATGACAGCATGTAGATGGTACTGCATTTTCAAAGCTTGCTTTCCAGTCCCTTTGCTAGAGGGGCTGAAAGGCTCCCTAAAGTCTTGATCAAAGCAGGGAGGTTTTTGACATGCCCAGCGAACAAGTTGTTTGTCCCCTACCTCTAGCTGTTTCTGAAATGTTTGCAATCTCTGATGGTGGACAAGAGATGTGGAGAAGAAAGAGTAGAGACACTCCAGGAGATCAACGCAGGTATGTGAGTTTTGTACACCAGTTTGTATAAGTTTAATGTTTCACATTGGGCCTTTAGGGTCAGTTAAGCCCCTGTCACACTGTCCCGAAATTGACACCCGATGGACACACGATAAAGGAAATGTTCAAATTCGGCTGTGATCGTAGCAACATCGGGCCATTCGTGAGGGCATCTAAGCCATCGTATGACCGCCGGTGGAGTTTCTCAGGCTCCGGCAGCAACTTTGTGAGCGGCAACTTCGTAAGGCACTCGTGAGGGCATCTTGTCAAATCGTGTCATCTTCGTGTTATCATCGGTGCATTCACCCTCACTCTGATCGGGGCGAATGCCCGATGGCACCGATGATAACAAGATGCCCTCACGATGGCCTTACGAAGGGCACAATTGACACACGAATTCAACACGAAAATGAACCTTCGCAAGGTTCTTCGGCAATTTTTTGGCATGCCAAAGATTTTGCCACCGCTCACGAAGTTGCTGCCGGAGCCTGAGAAACTCCACCGGCGGTCATATGATGGCTTTAGATGCCCTCACGAATGGCCCGATGTTGCTACGATCACAGCCGAATTTGAACATTTCCTTTATCGTGTGTCCATCGGGTTGTTTTATTGCACAACAAAATCATGTAAATATATTATGTAAATAACCCAATTTGTGTTCTGTGAAACTAAAAAGGATATAATATATTATTTTGAAGGACAGTTGACAGGAAGTTGTTGTTGTTATGGAAACAACATTACGGAGAAAACGTAATATTTTCTACATATAACGACGGATAAAGTAAAGAACAAAGTCTGAAGATATCAGTACAGTGTCATAGTACTGTAACATAATTGTTTTTGGTACTTTCATTGCAGTTGTATGTGTTAAATGTAATGTAAATGTTGCCTTCGTGTGTGGTTCGGGGCCATCTTCGTGCGAAATTCACAATTCCATATTCGTGTGTCAATTTCGGGACAGTGTGACAGGGCCTTTAAGCCGGGTAAATCGAACATATCCAGGTCCAGGGTCTGTTGAACTGGCTTCGTCGTACAGGGCACTGGAGGCAGTAACGTGTAACTCAGCAGAATCTGAGAAGAGCAGCATCAGCTGCAAAGAGCTGTGCCTTTTACTGTTTACTTCACTAGAACCGCTGAATAGAGATCGAGGCTGCTACGTTTAACCACACACACCTATACACACATCGAACTGAGTATTCCCCCTCGCTTTATGAAGGAGATGTCCTGTCACCGGGGCGCATGATGTGTGTGTGTGTGTGTGTGTGTGTGTATCCGACACCACCGGCATTTGTTTTCAAATTACCACGAACAGCACACGCACACACACACACAAAACGAGGCCACGCTTTATTAACTCGTGCGCACGCTTTATTAACTCGTGCGCACGCTTTAGTAACTCGTGCGCACGCTTTAGTAACTCGTGCGCACGAATTACTAAAGCGTGCGCACGAGAAAGTAAAACGTGGCCACGTTTTATTTATTTTTCTCTCTATGAACCCTCCAGGGCTCCGTAGTTATATACATAATTGTGTTCGAAAATAAAACACACATTTGTATATGAATTGTTTATTACACATCTTTTGAAAAAAATAGACATTAATCCTATCCTGTTTATTAAAATGGTGTGGTTGGCGCAATTTTTTGAATTTCACTTTGTTTTGAGTGAAATTGGGCGTGAGACACCTTCTACACACAGTAGTTTCCCTACTATTTGTCAGCAACACCTGTAGACATAATTGACAGTTTCAGGTTACAGAGTATTGTTTTAGGATCCATTATATCATGTTGGGTAAATTCATGAGGATACCAATAACCTCCATCTTTTTTTAAATAGATTTGCGCTCTTCTCCACCCAACACACTGCAAACTCACATGTTGTTTAACAGATGACACGTTTGTAAACAAAAACCCTGCTGGGGGATCTGGGGTGATACATTTTCTTTAAAAAAAATTGTATTAACATGTCCAAATAAGAATCCCCATAAAAAGTGTCAACAGATAAACAGTTTTCTCAAGATGTATGTATTATTTTTGAAAATAAAACAATGTTATTGTTTATTACAATTACAAAAAGTCTAAACTGAGTGAAAAGGCTAACTATAAATATAAGATTTTAACTTGTTATGTCTTTTCAGAGTCTTTGTTTTCTCCACGTTTGGGAAGGTAAGTGTTTGTTATTTGTCACACAATTTTAAATTTCATATTTTTTTACAAAGAAATGACAGAACTTTGACATTTCAATTTCAGCCAAGAAAAAAAACAATAACAAAAGAAGTCCTTTTGGCTGTGACTGACAAGGTTCGAGCCACAACCAAAACAAAAGACAATGATGAAGGTGACGAGAAAGCCACTTTCTGGGGCGAGGTGTGTCAGGAGCTTGGAATTCCGGATTCCAAGACCAATAGGACACGGCTTCATCATGCCTATAATCATCATAAAAAGGTAAAGAAAGATTTATATTTATATTTTTTATAAATATTACACTACCATGATTCTTATTTCTGCTTTGATTTTACCTTCATCATCAGCCTGCCTGTGTGAACAACTTTGATTTGGATGTGCTATAATATTTTATATTATTTGATTAATAATTAAATCTTTGGATTTAATTTGCTCCTTGTCATGTGCAGATGAGACACAAGACACAGATGGTGACCGCAGCACCTGCCAGCCCATCGACAGACAGTGACCACACAGTGCCTACTACCCCATCGTCGGATACACAGGCATTCACAGAGACAAGTGAACCAGAAGACGTTTCAGAGGTAAATATCGCATATTAGCACGTAGTACTACTATGTGGAGTGAAATTATAGTTAGTCCAAAATAAACATTTTCAGAGATATTGATTCACATCAGTAAAGAGTCATTCCAACTTTGGTCACTTTCGCTAATATTTTTTTCATTGTGTTTTACAGTGTAATTCATCAGGGACATATGACTCCTCATCACACTCAAAAGATGGGCAACTCTTACACTCATTTAAATTGCCTTCAAATCCTTAATTTTTTTGTCACGAAAAGTGACTGGAAGAAACTGAGGATGAGACAACATAAGCGTTGATTCAAATCTTTAAACTGGACTTCAGTCATGGCCGCTGGCATCCGGAGTGTCCACCACACTGTTGCTTTGTCTTCAAATCTCACAGTGTGCGAACAGTTGGGTCAAAAAGGAAAGGGTCACTTTTTTCATGTGTTGGCTACTGTCGATTTGATGACTGCCCTGTGGAGGTCGAAGTTGACATTGAGGATGATTCATCCCTTAAGGCAGTTGTGACCTTCAGAGGTGAAAAAGCATGGCACAACTGTGAAGAACTCAAACATCGGCCTGTGCGTGCAGATGAAAGGGATACACTTGCTAATGCCCTCACCAGCAAACTTCCCAGAAGTGTGTACCTTGATAAGCTCAATAAACTGGATGACACTGTGTTGGCTTCTGGAAACAGAGACCAGGTACCATCAACTGGTGTAATGAAAACATTGTCCTGGCAGGCAAGAAAGAAGCTGAGAAAACACAGCAATGAAATGATCAGCCTCAGAAAAATGATGGAGGAAGAGCTTGAGACTGAGGAAGCAGTCATTAAAAAAATTATAGCACACCCCAAAGGAGTCATGCTATGGTCCAACAAAACAATTGACCTCTTCCATGACAGGTGCAGGGAAGACATTGTATATGTGGATGCGACAGGGAGCATTGTTAAAAAGGCAAAAGGGAAAACCTCACCTTTTTATGTGTATGAGATGGTGGTCCGAAATCCGTTCAAAGGATCCTCCCCTGTCCCTGTGGCCACCTACATCACAAACGACCACACAACAGCCTCCATATCCTTTTTCCTTGGGTCATTTCTGACTGATGTAATAAGACTCCATGGAAGGGGAGCCAAACAAAGGCCTGTCATGCTGATCTGTGATGGCTCTACAGTCCTCATGGAGTCCATGGCCTATAATTTCTGTGGAGTCAGCCTCCAGGAACTTCTCTCCAGGTACTACAGCATCGTAACTGGACAGGCAAAGCATGATTGCATAAGGCTACCAATCATGCATCGCTGTCTCAGTCATGTGATGAAAAATGCTAAGGACCTATGTCGAAAACAGTAAGTGATTTCTGCCCAGTGCTACAATGATTCCTGAAGTCATTCATTTGTAAAGTCTTTGTAATAATCATTTTACAACCTTTTTATTACAGTGCCGCCAAACATTACCACCTGGCTATGCATGTTTTTGGACTGATGACACAGGCCACCACAATGTCCGAGCTGGATGAAGTTGTCACCAGTGCTGTGGTGGTATTCTCCAGCTCCCACAGTGACAGAAATGTTGGAAAACATTTTGAAAATCTCCAAGGACTACTGACAAACTCAGCACAGTCAAACTTGGACGATTCAACCATTGTGGAAGACTGTGTGGTATGTAATAATTATGTGAATGTTGGAAGTTGTTTCATAGCTCAAAAATATTATAAAAAATTATTTGTTTACCTTCAAGTACAACATAGCACAGAAAAGAGGACAGAGGCAGTGTGACCAGAAACAATGGAAAAATATTAACATGGTTTACATATTTTTCTATTACCCCAAGCTCAATGCAATGCAACTATGTTACGGTTATCTGAGAGAACCCAAATGCAGGACACGGCAGTGTGTTACAAAGGTTTTATTTGGAGGAGATAATCCGGCTGGAGAGTATCCACTGGAGCGTAATCCATTGAAGAGTATCCTCCGGAGTTTTAATCCACTGGAACGTAATCCACTGAAGCGTAATCCTGGAGCACAAGAAGAACAGGTAAGAATATATTCAGGTGTAGCGAAAATAGTCACTATACTTTAAGAAGGCTGAGAAGGCTAAGAGTTGTACCACTGGGGTTTAACAACGATCTGGCGCTGACAGGTTGTGGAGCCTCCGCTGATATACCATCCGTAATGGCTGATGGGAATCAGGTGTGTCGCAGAGGAGAGTGCTCAACTGTTTGCAGCTGGTGGAGATTTGAGCCGGGAGCCAGGAGTGACAGGCACCACGCCCACACAGACAGGGAAAGGGAAAACACACACACAAGGAAGGTGGCTGGAGAATGCAACCACCACAAACTAAAGTTATTTGTGGATTGTTTTTTCTAGAATGATATCGGACCTACGCCCTTCAAACAGCATTTTGAGGACTTAATAACCCAAACAGTTATTGAGAAATCTGGTGATGACAACATGTACTTCTGCCCGACTTTCATCCCTTCCTTGCTTAAGTATTTTCTGCCCCTGGCTGGTCTGTGGTCTGGCCTACTCTTGGGTAAGTTTTATTTTGCACGTGTTTCTATAGCTGCTTGTTAATGTAATGTAATATAAAATAATAAGGCATGTTTACTGTTTGGTTAGGTGACCTTGGACGCCATGGAACAGGGACCATTTATCAGAAACTTTCCCAGAAGTACAAAAGTGCTGCAAAAAAACCCACACAAGTACAAAAACCTAAAGCTTTGATGTAATATTGAATTTCATTGCATTATTCTATAATCAATATTATAAAATGCAATGTAAACAGTATGTAATCCAAGTGATTGTTAACAATATAATTTGATGTACCGTAACTAATATGTTCAACCGCAGAATTACACAGAGGACAACAAAACTCAAGGGATAATGGAAAAAAGCCAGTGGGACCTCAAAAAGATCAGTTTTCAACGGAGACGTCTGACCAGGCTGGACGATTTTGTACATACATACAAAGTCACCTTGAGCGCCCTGCTAAGGGAATATGGCGACTCTCTGAGGAGGGGGAAGAAGGTACAGTTTGTTATTTATATATGGCTGTTATGTTATCACATTTGTCCCTAGTCATTAAGCATTGCTATCGATTATGTTAGGAAAATATCACTCGCCACTGGCTTGAGTTTCAATAATCAGGATACATGTATTTATTATCCTTTCAAGAATGGAAGTCATCACATACAGAGCATTTGATACAAATAGTTCACAGAGCAGTGTCCTTCACAAGCTTTATATATATAAGAGACTTGTAGACAGACTTTTTACACCGTCACAAGATGGATGAATACTGGTTCAAAGCAGTATACAATGTTTAGTTTAGATTAGCTAAGGCTCACGTCAGAAATGAGCATGCTTGTCATATGTCTATCTCCATAGAGGCTGAATCATCATGTTAATCCCATAGCTATCATATGCCTCAAACAGTCCTGATGCTCTTCTAGGTAATCACACATCCTGTCATGTTCACAGCTACTTAGGGTCTTTGTCATCATGTGCTACTCTGATATTCAAAGAGTACATTCTGTATTTTCCCAACAGTTATTCTGCAGGTAATTTGGTCATTATAAACAGTTATATTAGGTGTGCTAATAATATCTCACAATAATATTGATACACCAATCAAAACTGTGATGCAACTATGCTGAATTTAGTTGGTTTCATAATTTTGATGAATAATAATTAATGAAATAATACATTTATTTCAGGCAAAGATAATGTTTGTTGTGAAAAGAAAACAACATTGAATAACGTGAAATGGCAGAATATGTAATGAAAGGTAAGTGCATTTACTCTGTCAATATTCCTTATTAACTGCAGACCCATCGTGTGGACATGGAGCGATGGAAAAAAAGAAAGCAGAACAGGCGAGGAGTTTATGTGACACCCATAAACAAGCCTTTTGTTTTCAGACAGCACAAGAAGAATGTATGTATTTTTGAGAGCAAACCATTGTTATCCTGTTTGTTGAAAATAACATAAATGTTATAATATTTGTGTTATTAACACTTTGTTTTTCTCAGCTCATGCTGAAGACAAAAACAGCAAAAGCTCCAGCTCCACTACAAAAACAAGAGCCAGGTGAAACGGAAGCACATATTCCATCACAGGTAATCCCATTTAGCATGGTTAAACAAAGCCAGGAAGCATTTGAAACACACACATCTAAACCAGCTTGGAATCTACAGCTTAATGTTGCATTTTCTATTAGTATACTGTAGGTAATGATAGAAGAACTGAAGATTCAAATTGTGTGATGAAGTGATTAACTATGACATGCACTTAACAACACATATTGGACAATGTGAAAGGCAATGTTGATGTTTCGGCTTCTATACAGGATCCAAAAGACAAGGCAAGACAAGGTCAATCTTCATCCACATCAGACATGACGGAGCATGCTGAGGATGACGCACAGGGAGGTAAAGTGGATGCTTCATCAGAGGTAAGAAACTGTAAGGACACATCATCAGGGAGTTCATCAAATAGTAAAATAATTGATTAACTAAAAAGTTAAAATGCAGATTTTAATGTTTAAGGAATGCTAAAGGAACGTTATGAAATAATACCTTTCAATTTACAATGTGTATCTCATGCTCTGTTAACAATCTAGCTTTGGGACATAAAAATGATATAGTATTTTTTTTGTGACCCCCAGCTGACCGCGTTGTGGGAAAAAAAAAAAAGGACACTGAGGTGGTGGTGTCTGTAGTCCCCACTCAAATAAGAGGCAACAGTTTTACCATCCGTCACTCTGACATGCGGACCCTTAGACCACACCAGTGGCTTACAGGCGAGGTATTTCATCCATATCATAGGACAGAACCAGTGCTCATACCAAGTCTCTTCACTACACATTAATCCAATATTCATGTAACGCTAGCTTCATGGCACACCACTAAAGTGTTGTTAGCACCCAAAGCCTAAAATGTATTAAATTGTTTTTAAAAGTTAATCTTAAAAGGCATCCACAGTTGAATATTTAACTTGTATTGTACACTAGAAGAAGTAGTCAAATGTGGTCATTCACTGTTATAATTTTCTGTTTTTATCAACAAAGCTTAACACCTGTCAACTACATTAATATTTAATATAATTGTATTTCTTATTAATGTCTGCTTGTCGACATTCTCTCCAGATCATCGAGTGTCTTTTCCATATACATGCACATAAATGTGAACTGGGGACGAGGATTTATATTCTCAACCACTACTCAGCTGGTGTGATCCTCTTTGGGAAAAGAGAAGAGGTCATGAAGCACACTTTGTCAAAAGTAACTTATGTTTCTATTGAGGATAACTACAAAGGTTTTCATTATGTCTTTGTCTAAATATAAACATACTCTATCAAGCTATTTGACTCTACTGTATAAAGAAAACAAATACAGCCTGATGGGAAATGGAAGTTGTTTTGTTCTTATGTATTACAGATACACTTTGACAGCTATGGAGCTATTGTGTCCTTTGTACATGTAGACGGTATACACTGGAAATGTCTGGTTAGTAGTGTCTATATCATATAATTGTATATTTCTTGATCAGCCAAGTTTTAGGAGATGTTGTGTTTATTTCAAAAATATATATTTATTTTTCTGTGTCCACAGTACATCAATGCTGAAGAAAGCACAGTGTATTTGGCAGATCCTGCACGCAACTCTGCAGAGCAGGCAGAGTCAGACAATGCTGCCAATGCTGCCAACAAATTCAGGTACTAACTGCATCCAATTTCACCTATTTTTCAAAAATATTTATTTCATTCTATTCCGTCATATATTATGTTTATATTTATTGTTATATTTATGTGGGAATAGATGGATCAGCTATATTGCCACAACCAGCCCTTTTGTTTTTTTATTGTATGTGCTACTACACCAAAACATATAATGTGTGGAAAATGTGTGCATGTTTGACTTTGGTCCATACCGATTATACCATAACACCCAATCCACTGAATAAACAACCTGTCCTTAGAGTGAACAATTGTCAATTCAGTTTGATATCAGACTAGGTGTCTGCATGTTACATCTTAAAATATACATTTGGGAAACATGCATTAACATCACTTCAAATTGTGTTACTCGACTGCTGAGACACAGTGTGACAAGGATTTATTTTATTATGCGAGTATTGTATTTTTACAGTATGCATTGTATGTTAATAATATATCTTATCTCACGCAGTGATTACTTCAAAATGAGGAGGACCTGCTGCAGTAAGACAGACTGGGTAGACATAAAATGGAAGGGAGGAGTAATGAAACACCCAGTACAGCAGGATGGCAATAGCTGTGGGGTAGTTGTCTGCATGGTAAATGGAATATTTATTTTCATATATGCTTTTATTTTGCTAATACAACATTATTTCAGCTTTTAGGATTAAGTCTGTTTTACTGCCTTTCACAAAAACACATTTGAGGTAGTTGGATAGTTATTTTAACAACATAACATGGTGTATCACTTTAAGATGGCAAAGGAGGTCATGGAAGTGTTTCCTAAAACACCAACAATGGCCTTTGGGACCACAAAAAAGGAGATGGCGCATCAAAGAAAAGTGTTGGCCATGGAAATACTGACAGCATCAGGTGCATGCTACTTTTTCAAAATTTCAATTCAATTGTGATATTGTTGTACTTGAGATGTAACATTAGCATTTTCTTTTCATCAGTGTTTGACAAAGAAGTCAACTGTGCCATGTGTGCCGGCATAAAACCACCCGGCTCAGTGCCACATCACACCCACACTGACTGGGTAAGGTTTAATGAATATTGAGACTTCAGATATTTCACAATTTAGATTTGTAGAAAAGCATTAAATGAAAGCAGAAACTAAATACAAACACTTGAGGGATGCAGTTGACCATTGCTCGAAGCTGGTATAAGCAGGGCTTTACTCTCATTTGTCTCCACTCTTTCTATTGCAGATTCAGTGTGACAGCTGTTTCCGGTGGTGCCACACACAGTGCCTGCATATGGACCAAAAGTCTCTTGAAGAGGCACAAGTTGGGGACTGGGTTTGCTCTCTGTGTGACAAATAATGTATGTGCATAAACATGCGGTTGCTGTATGTCCTATATTTTTTTTTAAAAAGGCACCAGCTGGGGACTGGGACTCCAGACTTTTCCAAAAAGCAGGGGATGTGGTTGCTGTGAAATAGTTTTCATTTATATGCTCAATTTGATATATTTAAAATCTATATTTGAGATTTGTTTAACTAAGAAGTGACCGTTGAATAAATATTGCAAAACAAATCCTATATCACATGGCAGCCAGTGTGAATTGTTTCCTACATTACAAGATTTCGAGTTTCTATTGTACAAATCTGGGCCATTTGTTGTTGAGTTCCTGAGCGATGATGGTGCCCAGGAAGCGGAAAGACTTCACAGCAGTGACTGGGGAGTCACACAGAGTGATGGGGCGGGTGGGGCTGCGTTCTTCCTAAAGTCCACAACCATCTCCACTGCCTTGAGAGCATTAAGCTCCAAGTGGTTGTCCCTGTACCAGGTCTAAAGCAGAACACATACATGATTGTACTCTGGAGGGGAGTTTGACAGGGTATTACTCAAAAAGTACACGATAAAAGTACTTGATTGTACTTGTGGCAGTAGTCCAAGTAGTACTCCGTCCAGCAGTACCACTTTCACTGAGAACTTATGCCAAAAAATCATTTTACCTCATCAAAGATGACAGAAAACATACATTATTGTACTCTGGAGGGGAGTTTGACAGGGTATTACTCAAAATGTACACGATAAAAGTACTTGATTGTACTTGTGGTCGTACTCCAAGTAGTACTCTGTCCAGCAGTACCACTCCCACTGAGAACTTATGGCAAAAAAATCATTTTATCTCTCATCAAAGATGGCATAAAACATACATTATTGTACTCTGGAGGGGAGTTTGACAGGGTATTACTAAAAAACTACACGATAGAAGTACTTGATTGTACTTGTGGTCATATTCCAAGTAGTACTCTGTCCAGCAGTACCACTCTCACTGAGAACTTATGGCAAAAAATCATTTTATCTCTCATCAAAGATGGCAGAAAACATGCATTATTGTTCTCTGGAGGGGAGTTTGACAGAGTATTACTCAAATAGTACACAGTAAAAGTACTTCATTGTATTTGTGGTAGTAGTCTAACAAGTACTGAGTCCAACAGTACTAATTTTATTAAGAACTTATGGCTAAAAATGATTTTATTCCTCATCAAATATCATTGATTGATTGATCAAATATAACATCAGCTCGTGTACTACCGTCAGCGCCGCTTCTCGGCGATTACCGTAAAGACGCTATTAATCGCGCACTCAAAAATGAAGCGCTGCTCATTTGACCAAGCAAATGCGAGAGACGGCTGAGTTGACCGCAGTCTCTCTCCAGAGGGGCAGGTCAGCCAAAAAGGCCAAACGGGCCGTTGCCCTGGCAACATTAGCCCGTACCTGTGCACGTCCCTGCACCTATCAATCATCAAACCGTGGGGTCTTATTTCATGACGTGTTGATTTCTATCAACACGTAATGTTGTATCGATGTATATAGAGATGTACTACAGCAAAAGTATTCTCCGTCGGGACTTCCTGAAACAACACCACGCCGTTATCTTGATTCTGATTGGCCAGAAGACATTATCAAAGATGTTCTATTGAGAAGACGATCACTACCTGACAAAAGTTTTCAAAACCGTTTCTAGTCTTCGGTATTCTTGTTTTTGGCGTGAGAATAGTTTGGGCAGCGTGAGAGCGTGAGATTGAGAGTGAAAGCGTGTGTCACACGCCAGATGCGTGAGAGTTGGCAACCCTGTATATATGTCACATCATTAATCTACATCTGTAACGTAAATAAAGATATGAAATGAATGTAGTGGAGTAAAAGTACACGATTTACCTCTGAAATGTAGTACAACGTAGCAACAAATTGAAATACTTAAGTAAAGTTAAAGTAGGCCTACCTCGAAATTGTAATTAAATACAGTACTTGACTAAATACTTAGTTACTTTACACCACTGGCAAACGGTTATTATGACTGTAATTATTATTATTTTTGTCACTGTCGAAATTACCCAAAATGAAAAAGTTAAAATAAACAAATATCACTGGGGGAAGAAACAAAACCTTCAGCAACATACAGTAGGTTTAATAATTTGGACTGAGATAGTATTTAACATTACTACTGATATAAGATTCAACCAGTTTGAGAGAAAATACACACATAATGTAATTCTGTGTTTCATTCAACTATATTTGGAGTGTGTATTCAATTTCCAATACATTCTAGGGCCTGCATATGATACATTTGATTTCAATTTAAGAGTGATGAAAGGTGAATAATTACAGTGTTCCGCCAGATGGAGCTCATGTCAGGATTTCTTGATCATGATAGCATTGGATAGAGTGGGATTAAGATTACCAATGTCCTAAAAAAAATTGCCATAATTGACTGCAAACAAAGAGATCTCAATGTTTTAAGGATACTTCAAAAATCGGTACATTGAGTCAGCTAAGGCCTACAACAAAAAACGGTATGCAATTACACACCTTTTATAAACATTTGTATTAGTTTGAACCCATTTTAAATGCATTATTCTGTTATTTTCTGTCTTTATTTGTTTCACCGATTGAGCTATAGTGACCCAGCCCTCACTTTGCTGTATTGTAAAACAAGGATTCATAAGATTAAACAAAAAATGAGAATAATTCATACAACACAATTGACACATTTTGGGGGCGCATTTCTCTTGATCTGCCTGCAGGACATACAGCAGCGCTCACTCAGGGGAGCTGTATCGGCCGGCAAAGAGGATGCTCATGGAGGGGTTGTGTCGGATGAAGAAGAGGAAGGGGTGGTCTGCGTGGAACTCAGGCGGCATTGAGGTTACTGAAAAGCCTCCAGCAGTGGCAGCAGCAGCCTCAGTTCCCTCCTCGTTGACATCCACAAAAGCCTTGTGGACGACTGCTGACAGGACCAGGTCGTTTGCCTTGGACATGCCTGTCAGCAGAGGAAAAAGTATTTATGATGCAAGCTTGATAAGTAATACAAGTGTTTTGAAGAACCAATGTATGTCTTCAGGCTTGTTTGTATTTCAAATGCAACCTTTTGGCGTTTGTTCAGTTCAACTCTTGCTATAACGATGCAGTTATGTTATATTTCTTACCAGAATAGTCACTCATCGTGACATCAAAAGCGTCCACCATGCCCATGCTGATCAGGATGTCTTTCAAGCTATACGACTCCTCCATCTTGAATCGAGGCAGCCTCACGTTCACCTTAGTTTTACCCATCATGTCTGAGTGAGTCCACTCCACAAATTTCTCATAGGTCAGCTCCTTCTCCAGCTAGTGTGGAGACAATATCATTTATTAGTGTGCCAGTTTGTGCATTTGTTCACGGTATGTGTCTGTGTTCTACCCATAGACTGGTTCTACCTTCTCAAGGCCCGTTGTCTCGTCCTCGATCTCATTGGGCAGGAAGATGAGCATGCTGAGGTCTTTCCCTTTATAAGGCATTTCCAGGATCTGTGCAGACACATTCCAATTTTCATTTCAAGGTAATCTGATCAACAAACTGTTAAAAGTATGGAAAGTCTACTCTACTATACATACATTTGGAATATGGTAAATCTATATTTTATTGAAATCTGTTCGGAAATGACTAAAATCATATTGCATCGCAGGCAAAAAGGCATTACAAAACCAATAATGTTCAACAAAGAAATGGATATTACCTGGCAGTTGGCCTCGCGAATTGAGGAGAGACCAAATGTACTGGTCTGTCCCATCATCTTCACCGATTTAGTGTCATTCTAAAGAAAGCAGCAAACACATAGCACTTTTCCTGTTGAGTTATCATGTTTAATTCATGGAAGATATAGCAGAAGGCTCATTTCTTAAAAAAAAAAAATCAAACATTTCATGCTAAATTGTTTCCCTCACCCTGGGAATTTGGGATCAAGAGTGATGGGAAAAGTACTCAGATCTTGTGAATACAGCAGTGGAGAAATAAACAAGTACAAGTAAAAGTTGTACAAAAGTATTAGCATCAAATTAGGGCACTATAAGTACAAATATTCTTGAAGAATAGCTGATTTCAGAATAATTTATATTTTATTATTGGAAAATTATATATTTGTGAAAAAGGCAAATTAAAGCCATTACTCTCCCTTTTGTTGTTTGGTGTTTGTTCGCTATTAAATAATTAAAGCTCTTGTTTGTATTAATTTGATCGGAGTACAATGAATAAATAACTTCAGAGTTGATCAAGAATATCTGGTTTATGTTGCTTCCCTAGCGAGCTGGGTTGCAACAAGCTTTAATTAGAAACATCACTTTGAAGCTGTATCCATAGCTTTGTAACGGTCAGTGTTACCTTGTTCATTTTAAACGGAGCATCAACAGTAGAATACTCCTTGAACTGTGTCTCCCATTTCCCTTTGAAGTAGATGGCGTTGACCAGCACCAACCTTGTCAGGCTACCCACCACACCCTTGGCAAGCAGATTCTTAATTTTACCTGGTGAACAAAAGAACAAAAATACATTAAGACAGACGACCTCTGTTATCACCCAAAGCTATAATTTCTTATCTACTGACGTGCTCAAATGTAGGCTACTATGAGCTCTACCTTGAGTCTGATCCTCCACCCATTTGTTGATGTTGACCCTGGCTGCTTCTGCGCTGACTTTGAAGTCCACAGACTCCAGATCAGCGCCGTAGTGCTTTTTGGTTTCTGCTAAGAAATGCTGGAATGATAAAAAGCATGTTTAAATGCTCGCATCGCAACTGTTAACTCGCATGTAACCATTGCACAAAGAAGAAACACTTTAAGAGATACTATATCATTTGAATGATTTCTAATTGAATATACCATGGTTTTGTTAATACTGTATTTGGAGATAAAACCAAGATAAGTGGAACTGATCATGAAATAGTTGCAGGGAGTACTTTTACTGTATGCCAGATTTCTCAACAGTGTTAATCGAAAAATGTAACAACACTGGTGACTCTAATTATAGGGCAAGGATCCAGGTTGATGGAAATTAGGCTGCACATTAACAGGTTTTCTTTCTGACCAATAACAAATGAATGCAGAGCAAAAAGCACAAACACACCTCAACAAACTGGTAGGACTGCTCTCCGTAAAGCCTGTTGGCGAGGCTGAGGGCATACGGAGCGTCGTCCTTGATGAGCTTACTCATTAGTTCGGAGAAGCTTGCGTGGACATCCTCTTCATCATTCTGAGGTGGCAGGAACTGCAAACAGCCAGATAGGATTAGCATGTTACAAAAACAACACTGACACAGAGACCGATAAAAGAAAACCTTGTATGATGTATCATAATCTTGTATGGATCATCGGCCTTGTGATCAGCTTGGCTGTTAAATAATGAGAATAAACACCAAAATCATTGTTAGCCCTGGTTATCAATGCTACAATGACTGTACAGTGTACATACTGTGGAATACTGAGGCATCCATTACCATAGGAGAACATTAAAGCTTTAAGCACCTTTTTAAAAGTGATTAATTGAACATGAATCCGTGCTAGGCCAAAATATACAGGTGTGTTTCAGGGTCTTTTTTTTATTTGGCATAATGCTACTGTATGGCCTTCTTTAGCATGGAATGCTGTCCTTAAAGCCAAATATTTGAGTCATTGTTATAAACATTTAATGTAATTAGAATGACATTGAACAAAACCTCCAGAATCCGGGAGATTTCGGAAGTTTAACTTTTCCTTATTAAACCTACAGCACCTTTTGAAAGAAGCTGAAAAATGGAATCAACAGACCAAACGGAAACGTAACACCAATAGAATAACGTTCAGCCTCATTTACCCTTATCGTTATTAACGCCTTTAATTTGGCTTTGTTCCCACCTTGCGCACACACTCCGGCAGAATTCTGGACTGATGCATCTGCATCTGCGACTGCATCTGCGACTGCATTGTCTCTGCTCCTGTCTGCTCTGGTTGCCCTTTCTCAGTAAAACCCAGGACCTGGGGGGGGGAAGCAAATTCGAAATGTATCTGATGAGTTGGATCACTGTTAAGTTACATTTTGTCAGTGTGGCAATACAGTTTGATGCACAGGTAAACAAAGACACAGCTTGTAGAAGCACTCTCTGTTGTCTGGTCAAAGGACATAATCGTACACATTAAGTCACATGCACATCTTCCTCTGTATAATTGATGACTCCAGGCAGAATTACGACCCTGCTAGAAAGAGTAAGATAATTGCATTTAAAACATCACCAATGAAGAGGAACAGAAGGATTGCCAGCAAAATGAACTAGTAAGAAAAGTTATTGACAACTAAATCTACAGCTAAATAGTAAATAGTATTTCTCTCTGAAATTTAAGTAAGGTCATAGTATAAACGGCAGAAAATGTAAATACAGTAAAGTAAGTATAAAATTGTACTTCAGTATGGTATTCGAATGTACTAGCCTAAGTGACTTTACACCACTAACATGACACCCTACACATTTGTGATTGGTATAAATGTGCTTTCTCACTTATGTTTTATCATTTTAACTATTTTTTAAATGTCTATTTGAGTTGTATATATTGAAAATAATCCTAATTAATTTAACAAACTATTCCTCTACTTGTCAACCAAGGCAGGAGGAAATATATCCCTGCCCTTTTTCTAACTGCTGCAAATAATGAATTGCATGTGCAGGCACTTTCTCATGCCATGCCCCACAAGAAATCCAGACCAAAACCTTCTGTCACCTCTCATATCATTCTTAATTAAATAAAAGGCATCTTTCAATCAATGTTAAAAACATCAGAGTAGATTGTTTTTTTTTCCGAATAAAACCTGTGCACGTGACAGAGCTTGATATCCAAACCCACACCTCACGATGGCATAAAATAGATTGCGAAATTCTAGCCCCATCAGCAACTCACCTTAAATGGCATGCCTGTTGATACACTTAAAATGGGTGTGGTACCCTGAGAACTGGGCCGTTTAATTTGTAAGTGTACATGCGTATTTAGGTGTGTGTCTACCTCTGACATCTGTGCAGATGTGTTGCCCCCGGTCCCCAGCATCACCATAGCCAGGGCTGAAGAGATGCTGAAGGGGGAGTAGAAGATATTTGCGGTCTTGTTGGCATCACTGAGCTTTTTGAAAAGGTCCAGAGCGAAGGTGGTGTTGGCCTTGGATATCTTGGATGGGGGTGATGTCGCCATTGTGTCTGATACAGAGCAGAACATAAATCACTGCATTATAAACTGTAGCATACCTTTATGTGAATACATTGCATTTACCCTTTTAGCCCGTTTTTCTGAGACACAAATAGCTTTAACAAATGTTTAATTGGTAGTCTTGGTAGTGATTGGTTGTCTTTTTTACAACAGGTAATATTTGTTATTTTTAGAAATGATTGCACTTTTAATATCTTCCTAACTTATATTGTCCTTTTGTTAAATCTATGTATTAGGCCTCTTTGTTTGATTTGCCAACTCTTCAGTATTTGTAGGTTTTAAAATGTTAGCACCTTGCAATATACTCTTTTGAATTAGCGTTTTAATTTGGGGCTTGCCAGTTTAAAAAATGCTCTACCTTTCCCAGACAGGTGCAGACATTTCTCCATTATTTATGTTCCAAAACCTTGTCACTAATCAGTAAATATAAATCCAGTTATTTACTTAATCAGAAGGGAAAAGTTACGGAACTCAGTTAAATCACACAGATATTGCATCATTGCCTTTGGAAACCAGGTGAAAAAGGAATGACTGTAAATCAAGAACTGTTAGTTAAATTAAACCTGGTAAACTCCTGGTATCCTTTACGAGCATTATCAACAAAATCAACAACATGAAACGAAAATCAACTTACTGACAGAGGCTCTTCTTCAGCGAACAGGTAATGTGGAATGGTTCGGTTTAAGAAAAACTAGTTTGAGTTGTCACTTTATAGGTCATGATGGCCTGGCAGCATTCCAACATGTGTCGAGATCACTGAAGGACACACCCACCCATGTGATGTTTTGGGTAAATGACGTGTGTCAATTGTAAGAGTTTGCTAATCAAACACTCAACAGAACCATAAAATGGATGCTTATACATTCAAACTGTCCTATGTTGTGTTTGAGAGGTAGAGTTGGGCATTATTTGGCATCAAAGACAAAGGTCTGTTAGTCATTTATTCCCCATGTGCAATACAAGGAGACCATTTCTAAAATATGGGCTCAGAACAGTCTCATAATACACACATGCACACAGAAGGATTCAAACTTGTATTTCCGGATTCATACTTGTGTTTTTCAATGCACACACAAATGTATTCCGTTTCATATACATGTAAATAAAATCCAAATACAGAAAAAAGTTTTACATATGTATTTTTGATCCTAATTTATTAGTTTCCCGTTTAAATCTCCTGAACCTGCAAACACAAACAGCTTTCTGTGCACGGATCGCTTTGCATTCGTGTGTGGGTTTTTTGAGACTCCCCTGACGGTCAGCCGATTCGTACTTGTACTTTTTTCTATCTATAGCCAATCAGATGTCTCCTTCATTCTAAGCCAATCACATGAGCGCGCCCCCACGAGGGTAAGATTACTTCATATACGCATTTTGCGCAGTCCGGTCAGCTCGCTAAACAGAGGGCGGAGCATCAGGTGATCATGCAGAGCAGCGAGTCTCCATCAGACTCAGCAGCTGATCTGATCTCTCTCGCGTGTCCGGTTATACTTCACTCGCGTTTATGTCCATATCGATCAGATCCAGCTCTCCTGATCGGCCTTTATAGAGAGCACCGATCAAACTATTAAGAGTGAATATCGGCCGATAATGACCGGCGGGGCTCCCCCCGTTAACAGGTCACTGTCTAGCACTGGCTTCGTAGTGCACTGATCGATTAGGCTAAGCTAACCTGTAGCTGCTCCCTTCACACTCACAACAACTTCATACATCGACATACATAAAGCAGCTGTATTCGCCATACAGGAAACACACATTTAAAACGGTTTTGCCTGCCGTTTTTGTGTACACAAGCATTCATCAATGGTTTGGAAAGTGGCGCTGTACCTTAATAATATAAAGGCTTGTATTTGCGTGCATTTCCCGTTCGGAAAGTGGCGCTGTACTGAGAGTGGAGGGTGTCCTCCTGAGATTAGCCGGACTGCGCAAAATGCGTACATGAAACGCTACGTCATGAACGCAAGAAATCTACCCTCGTGGGGGCGCGCTCATGTGATTGGCTTAGAACGAAGGAGACATCTGATTGGCTATAGATAGAAATAATTACAAGTACGAATCGGCTGACCGTCAGGGGAGTCTCAAAAAACCCACACACGAATGCACAGCGATCCGTGCACAGAAAGCGGGTTGTGTTTGCAGGTTCAGAGGATTTAAATAGAAAACAAATAAGTGAGGATCAAAAATACATATGTAAAACTTTTTTCTGTATTTGGATTTTATTTACATGTATATGAAATGGAACACATTTGTGTGTGCTTTGAAAAACACAAGTGTGGATCCGGAAATACAAGTGTGAATCCTTCTGTGCACATGTGTGTATTATGAGACTGTTCTGAGCCCATACTAAAATGTTTTTATTTTTCACATAATGTTTGGTTACTTTTGTGGTGTGGCTAATAAAATAAGATAAGATAAGAAGTACTTTATTGATCCCAATTTGGGACATTTCTACAAAATACAAGGCTTCCATCAGCTCTTATTGGAATGCTTATTTTTGGTAGTCAATAAGTCAGCCAAGGCCTCGACAAAACACTTTAGGAAATTAAAAACATATCATTTGAAGATGTTTAGGACAGACGAACTGTCCCTGCATTGGCCTTCTTATAGAGAGGGATCATACTAGGAAAAGGACCTCTACAATGTTTTTATTGTATTTGTTTGAGCCCAGCAATATGAACTGCAGACTACCTTTGCTTAGATTTATCCTCTCATGATTTATTTCTAATGATTGTGTTATAATGACCTAGCCCTCACTTCACGAAACAATATGACGAAAACAAAAATATTGCAAAAGACTCTTTATTCTGTTTCTTCCTTTTCATAATGTCAACACTTTACATAATTGATATATTCTCTCTAGATAAAGACGAGAACGCCATGATTTGTAAGACATTCAGATTGCATAGACAGAAGTAAGACCATTCTATTTCATACTCAATTACAGGAAAAGATTATTCATATACACTCAATATATGGACAGAAGAAATAATGACATTTTAGACCAAATGTGTTTATTAAGACCGTGAGAAACAATTGCTAAACGTTCCACTTGTGACAGATGAATGAATAATATAATGAATGGACTGTGAAAATAGGACGTGGATCACAGAGAAGGAGAATGTGGGCAGGATGTCAAGAAAAACACGTGGATCTAGTGGATGGTTGGAAAATATAGTCCATGAACACAGGAATTTGCTTTAGTGTATTATTTTGCTAACATAAACATGGTAAGAGCAATTTAAAAAAGAACAAATGAGCTTTTAAAGTATTATAAATTATTGATTTATGTAGGAGGAGTGCAGGGCCCTTAACTTGTCTTTGTGCCTGCAGGACATACAGCAGCGCTCACTCAGGGGAGCAGTATCGGCCAGCAAAGAGAACGCTTTTGGTGACATTGTGTCGGATGAAGAAGAGGAAGGGGTGGTCAGCGATGAACGTAACCGGAACCAATAAAGCGCGTTCTGTTAGTATGACAGCAGTGGCAGCAGCAGCCTCAGTTCCCTCCTCGTTGACCTCAAGAAAAGCCTTGTGGACGACTTTTGACACTACCAGGTCATTTGCTGGGGACATGCCTGTCAGCAGAGGAGAAATGATTTATGATGCAAGCTTTATAAGTAAGGCAATCTTGTGTTTTACAGAACTAATGTTTTCTTGAAGCTTGATTAGATTTCAAATGCAACCTTTTTGGCTTTTGAAAGACATCCTTGTATTTATTTCTGCATGGAAAAGTGTTACTCTTTTATTTGTCTGTTTAGAAATGTTGTGCTCTTAAAGTAATGATGCTGTTTATATACAGTATATATATTTATGGCAAACGACTCACCTGAAAAGTCACTCATCGTGACATCAAAAGCGTCCACCATGCCCATGCTGATCAGGATGTCTTTCAAGTCACACGACTCCTCCATCTTGAATCGAGGCAGCCTCACCTCCACCTCAGTTTCACTCATCATGTCTGGGCGAGTCCACTCCACAAATGTCTCATAGGTCAGCTCCTTCTCCAGCTAGTGTGGAGACAATATCATTTATTAGTGTGCCAGTTTGTGCATTTGTTCACGGTATGTGTCTGTGTTCTACCCATAGACTGGTTCTACCTTCTCAAGGCCCGTTGTCTCGTCCTCGATCTCATTGGGCAGGAAGATGAGCATGCTGAGGTCTTTCCCTTTATAAGGCATTTCCAGGATCTGTCAAAACATTCAATTTTTCATTTTGAATCTAATCACCAAATTGTTAAAGGTATGGAATTTTGCTTAACATACATAAATCTATTGTTTGTTTTTTTAACCATTATCATGTATATTACCTGGCAGTTGAACTCGGTAATGGAGGTGATAAGAAATTTACTTTTCTCTTGCATCATCTTCACCGATTTGGAGTCATTCTAAGGAAAGCAGCAAACACAACAAGCACTTTTCCTTTTGAGTAATCGTCCCATCATATGAAAATATCAATTGTCCCATAGGGTACTAAAAGTCAAAGTATTCAATCTGCAGAATTGCTAATTTCAGAATCATATATCCATCATATTCCAATCAAAGTCCATTTGATCTGAATACCATCAATAAATAACTTTAAAAAATACCAAGAACATCTGGTTTATGTTGCTTTCCCTACTCCTAACAAACTGGGTTGCAATTAGATTAGAAATATGGTCAGGTTAACTGCCTAATCATTTCCAAAAGACCAGAAACCACCCCAGTGTTACCTTGTTCATTTTAAACGGCGCATCAACAGTAGAACCCTCCTTGAACTGTTTGTCCCATTTCCCTTTGAAGTAGATGGCGTTGACCAGCACCAACGTGGTCATGTTATCCACCACATCCTTGGCAAGCACATCCTTAATTTTACCTGGTGAACAGTAAGGAAAGAAGATACCATCGTTAAGGCAGCTAGCAATGTTTACAGCCAAATTACATTTTTGATCCACCTTTACAGCATTTAAATATAAAATCTGAAAACAAAAAGGTAGGCAAAAAATAAATGTGCGAGTGTATGAGTTATTGTGAGCTGTACCTTGCGTCTGCCCCTCCACCCAGCTGTTGATGTTGACCCTGACTGCTTCTGCGCTGGCTTTGAAGTCCACCGACTCCAGCTCAGCACTGTAGTACGTTTTGGTTTCTTCTAAGAAACGCTGGAATGATAAACAGCACATTTTAAGACTCATTATGCTTTGAACTTGAGTTAAGAAATACTTTAAGAATAGTATATAATTTGCATGAGTTTTATACAAGTATGATACACCTGGCTATCCCGGATTTGAAAATAAAACGTTAGTGGAGGATCACAAAGGAATACACCCACCTCAACAAACTGGTAGGACTGCTCCCCGTAAAGCCTGTTGGCGAGGCTGAGGGCATACGGAGCGTCGTCCTTGATGAGCTCACTCAGAAGTTTGGAGAAGACTGCGTGGATCTCCTCTTCATCTTTCTCAGGCTTCAGGCACTGCAAAACAGCCGGAGAAGAAGTTCCATAAACACAGTGAACTAGTGCTAGATAAAAGACAACTCCCATGTATAATGCGGATCATTGGCCTTTTGAACAGCTTACCTATTTAATGATTAGAACAGACACCAAAATAATTTGCCCTTGTTATCAATGCTACAGTTACTGTATGTTGATTATTATGGTAACCATTACCAAAGGAGAACATTAAAGCTTTAAGCACCTTTACATTTTATTGTTCATGAATCCATACTGTAGGCCAAATTGTAGTCCATTTTATTTTATTTAAGATAAC